AATAAATGGTGTCGGTCTGGCCAGCCGTCGCTGTGTGCCCCGTCCAAGCTCCGGTTTCTAGACGCAGGTCATTGTGCAACCCTGGCAGCGAAGCGAAAATGGCATGGCGGAGGGGGCAAGAGGGATGGGGAGGCGCGTCATCAATTGCCGTAATTACTCCGTCTGTTTCGAACGGAGACTGACGATGCCGCCACCACGCGAATCATGATCAACGGGTCTTCATAGCGAAACAGGGTAATGCTCCTTGGCCGTGATACGCTCCGAAAGCTACAACGTTGCAGGCTCTGCGGTCCGAAGCAAAACGGTGGCTTAGCGTCTACGACGATCTACTAGTCAGTGTAAGTCGGTGAGTTGCATTGTCTGTCTCGGTAGAGACAATGGGGGCCAGGATATGGGGCATGACCCTCCGCGGGGGCCGCGGTGCCTGCGGGCTTTTACTTATTGACCCAGAGCCCAAACAGAGGGCCCTCCCCGACTCTTGGGTCGCCTTTGGTTGTTTGTTGCTGTTTCCGCATCGAACGCGAAAATGGGGTCCAAAAGTGAACAGCTTGAGCTGACGCAAGTTGGTTTGTTGAAGAGAGAAAGCGGCAAGAAGTCCAAAGCATTCTGGGTTTCTGGCCTAGCAGCACTATGCCTCTTCGTGCTCGCCGGGTTTTGGCGTGGTGATAGCCCACACCATGCGCTGCTCGGCGTCTGGAACCGCCTGTCCTCCCACAAGTCAGACAGACTCACCCGCAAGTACACCATTCAATCGGGAGTTAGATGGATGAATCAAGGTATGCCATCCTATGGTTGAGAGACTTCCTAAATACACCGCTAATGAGACCAAGATGGCGGTCGCTGGAGAGTCATGTTCGTGTGCAACGGCCAGTCGCCCTGCCCCACGCTGCACGCAGAGGAGGGCGACCTCGTAGAGTTGACTGTAAAGAGCGACGTCTATGCGCAGTCATCAATTCACTGGTATTCCTTCCACATTCAAAGTGTCAATTGACCGTTTCAATGTTTTCTAACTCAAATTCAGGTCTGGAATTGGACACAAAGGGTAAGATGTCAACAGCCGACACGTCTGCACGACCAAGTCTAACATCTCCCCAGAACCGGTAGTTGGAACGATGGTACCGCCGGCATTTCGCAGGTTCGCCGCACTTTATCCCTTAGAATTGTTTACAAGACTGACGTTTCTAACATTAGTTCCCCATCTTGCCTCGTGGCAACTTCACCAGCTTGATTGACACCGCCGGCTCCTGGGGCCTGAACTGGTATGCCGAACATACTTCGGCAGCTTCAGCTGATGTATGGCCACCCGTTGACTGACTTCAAGGTGATCCATTTACTTACAAGCCTATAGGGTCTCTACGGCATGGTGTATGTGGCACCGAGTCCATCGCGACCCAGGCCATACCGCCTCATCACCAACGACGAGATTGAGCTGCGTAAGATCATGGAAGCCGAGAAGGAGGCTCACCATTTGGCCATCAAAAACCACCAGCACCGTGACACCGGCTGGAAGATGCTGCGTATGCGAGCTGAAGGTTCCGAATTCTATTGTTATGACTCGATCATTGTCAATGGTGGGTTTCAAATTCCGCGAAGCCGAGGGTACGAGCATCTCGCTAACTTCACCAGGCAAGGGTCGTGTTCACTGCCGTCAGCCGGGTTTCGAGACGCTGAACGGCCACAACCTGGACGAGACTGGTTGCATTCAACCTGCCGGACTGCCGCAAGAGACGTGCACACCTAGCAAGGCTGACTATGAGGTATACATGATGGGTTTAATCGTATTTTTCCCGGATGCTGACAGTCGCAGGTCATTGAGACTGAAGGCCGAGCCTACGTCATGCTGAACTTGATCAACATTGGCTTCGAGCACTCCGTCATGGCGTCTATTGACAGCCACAGAATGATAGTCGTGGCCAACAACGGAGGCTTTGTCATTCCTGAAGAGACGGACGTAAGTTCAACCTCTCTTGGACAGAATGTCAGCAACCATGTTCCTAACGCTTTCAAGGTCGTGTACATTCCCAGTGCAGGCCGTGTCACCGTTTTAGTCAAGTTGGACGCTAAGCCGGGCGACTATGCCCTGCGACTTTCGTCTACAAGTCAAATGCAAAACCTCCAGGGCTACTCAATCCTTCGATACCCCGTAAGCTCACACCCGCTGCAGTAGCTGAGATTGATAGGAGACTAACGTTGCTTTTCCACAGGCAAGCCGGCGTCCTATCTACGGCGAACCCATGGAACTCCCCCAGCCGGAGTCCTTAGATGATGTCTGCGTCCTCCCTGATAGCTCCACAAAGAAGCATTGCAAGACTACTTCCGGCCTCTTCCTCCCTCCCTACCCCGCGTTGCCGCCGCCCAAGGCCAAGAAGTCCCGCCCAGCATCTGCGGACTTCACCTTCCACCTTGCAGCTGGCTCCCAACCTTCTCTGACGGAGCCGCATGTGCCTGAATACTTCCTCAACGAGAGGCCTTGGCAGCTTTTCCGCTCTTCTCTAACTCCTTTACTCTTCCACGAGTTCAACTCAAGCTCAGAGGCTTCCCTTGGAAAGCCGGTCATCGACGGCATTCCCATGGGTAGCGTCGTCGATCTAATCATCGAGAATCAGCTTAATGACACCATCCCGTTGTACAAGCACGCCGATCCTGCATGGCTTCTTGGTGTGAGCTCCAACGCGAAGTTCCCCTACACTAGCATCGAAGAGGCAGTTGCTGCGGACAAGAATATTGCATCCGCCCTGAACCTGGAGGATCCTGGACTAGTCACGGTCCACGACTTGCCGCCCCTGGGATGGAGTGTGCTTCGCTTCAAGGTGACGACCAAGGCCGCGACGATGATTCATGCCGTCAAGCTTAGGTACTTTGCGGTGAGTATTCGCTAATCATGGCTTTCATTCGTGCGCAGAGCAGCTAATAGTGTGTCTCTTCAGCTTGGCATGTCAGCGCCCATCATGGAGGGTATCCTTCCCACAGACCCGGCTAACTATCCGACCTTCGCTGCGAATCAGCCTCACGTCGACTTTGAGCCTAAGAATGATGGTGTTTTTGGGTAATCTCTGTAGTTGAAGACCATAACTGCGCCGACCTCGTACCAGCAGGTTATGCGGAGCTTGAGGCTGTGGCTGAAGGTCTATTCCTGCTTCCTCATCGGATTCCAATGAGGCAAGGAAATATGAAGAAAATCAGCAAGTTTGTAAATAAGTTAAATGATCAAGTATTGTAGTCGTCCATCATAATCTCGGTTAGTCGGCATCATGCGTGGTTATTCTTTCGTCCTATGCGTTCATGACTTTAAAGCATCCGCTCACAGTATGTTGACAGTGAAAGTCTTGTGCTGGATCTCTTATGGGAACTCCCATGGTCTCTTAACTGGGAGGTGTGACATCGTTCCCGTCTTTGCAGCAGCTTTGCATGTTTGATAGCGTGTGGCACCACCCTTCCCATTGCGCATATGAGCTGCAGTGCAAAACAGGACTACCTGAATACGTCACTCAAAGTTAGGCAAGACCAACTTTGAGCGCTGCCGGTCCGGCTCCGTAATTAGAGTGTAAAAACCATTATTGCACCAGTAGAGTGCTCCTTCATCATGTGCCGAGCCCAATAAAATGGCCTCGAATGCATCTGACCCCGGGAGCCTTGCATTAGGCAGAACAGAGGTCGCCCTCAGCTGAATGCGGGTGGTCAGCAGGCATTAAACGCTTCCATACAGCTCCCTCGCTTTTCTATGGCTGCGAGATGATCGGCGACAGAACCATATCAAATGCGCCTCATGTGAAGACAAATCCAGTCCTTCGTTGTTGCAAAGCGATTCTGAAATTCCGTCTACCTACACCGCCAAGAGGCACACAGCAGAGGAAATTGAGGGGTCTCATTGGACCCAATTGCTGCTTTCGCGAAGAGGTCATGTCTTAATGAACGTATTACCGACGTCGCCACTAGGCCAGTTGTCGTGTTGTACATTGCATGCATGGCATCAGTGAGATTTTTTAAAGCCACGAGACCGTACTCTATGAAGGACAGCCGAGACGTTGTCGCAGCTGTGGCAATGGCATTGGCCCCCTATCGCCTGAGGATCATACCCACCACACTCGTATCCCAAACTGTACTCCCAAACTGTACGACGGCCAAGCGAAGCCAACGTTCTTCTCACCAATCAAAACCTCTTGTTGCCACGCTGATAAGTAGGCGCGGGGAATAAAGGCACAGGCTGCCCCCGGCACGTCGCTCAATTAACCTCGAGACACCAACCAACACCGAGGTCCATTGCCATGGAATTGCAGCACATTTCCAACCCCGGCCTGCGGAGAATCAGGCGAAAACCGGTGCCATCTTTACCTTCACCTATAAGTGAAGAATCTAATCCAATCGACATTGCATACGAACCGTTGCTTGACACTCGGGACGAAGATGTAGACAATTCAACAGGATTGCTAAATAGTGATAGGCAGGATGGAAAGGGGGCGCTTCTGGGAGACAATGCCGCACATGAATCGGATTACAGCTCGTTGAAATCCGCACCCAAGACAGACTGGACACCAGTCAGTATCCGCCCCGAGAAGGAGCAGGTTCCTTGGACAATACCTGCGGAAAAGATATTCAATGGGTGGTGGCTTGAGATTTTCTGCTGTTGGCTCAGTATCGCCTCTCTCGCTGCTCTAGTGGTACTTCTCTACGGATTTAACGACCAGCCCTTGCCAGATTGGCCGTCGGGAATCACTGTCAACACAGCTGTCGCATTTATATCAACAGTGGCAAGATCTGCATTCACAGTCCCGGTAGCTGAAGGGCTGTCTCAGTGCAAATGGAACTGGTTCAAGAAGAAACCGCGAGAGTTAAGAGACTTCGATCTATTTGACTCCGCTTCTAGAGGACCATGGGGCTCCTTAAGCCTAACGTTCCGCACGAAAGGATGGTAGGTCGGTCAGTTATATTACATATATAAAGACTTCGGCCCTTCCTTAACAGAGTTGTGAGTGCTGACGACGTCCCAGGCTGATTGGAATTCTCTCGGCGACCTTGCTTATCTCTGCTATCGCTACGTCCACCTTGACTCAATCAGCTATCACATATCCGGAGCGAAACATCACGGGCACAACTCAAGCTCAGGCTGCCGCATACATTCTTGAGACCTTTGTCCAGAAGATTGGTGGAGTTGGACTCCGTGAGATCAAGTCTACCCTCCAAACTTTCTATGCCCATAGCCCTAATTGAGTAGAGGGATTCGAAGGGCGGTTGTCCCGTGCGATGACGCAAGCTATTGCGTCTCCCGTAACGAAAGTCATGGAAGTAACACAGCCGTTTTGTCCGCTCAGCGACTGCACCTGGCCTCGTTTCAGCACGCTCGCTGTGTGCCATAGCATGACCGGTAAGAAGACAATCCATTCGCCCGAGTTAATCAAATCACCGAGTCGGGCGCAGATATCACGACCATCTAATGTTTTTGTTAACTTTTCTTTCCGAAATATGACGTGTCTGATTATTGTTTCACGGCAGATGTTACGGATCGGCTCAAGGTAGTCAACAATGAGGATTCCACAATATCAATGACACTTCCCAATGGGGTTAACATGACAGCCAAATCCAATACTACTCAGCGCGCAATCGTCCAGTCGAAAGAGCCGATATCTGACTACAACCACGACATTCTCTTGTCCAGCATCTTCAATTACTCTATCATTTATTGGGATGCTACCAAAGCCCCTCTTGCAGCCGACGTAGTTTTGCATTGGTGTGTCAATACCTACGACGCAAAAATGTTGGACAACAAGCTTGAAATGTCAAAAACACGGTCGCACACGCAGTGCAAAAAGTCCCTTGAAGCGAATGCCACCGATGTCATCGAGCTGAGATCACCAGCTGAGAACCAGATACGATATGTCATGGACCGGGCCACAGAGTCAAATATCACTGCTGCGTTGAACGACGCAGTAACTGGCGATGGCGTTCCAACGAATCATGCCACGACCGGGAGTGACAGGCTCTTGCATGCCATTGCTGAGACTGAGTTGCTGTACTCCTCTGGCCAAGTAAACGCAAATGCTCAAAACCAGCAAAACGCTTGGTTGACAGCCATTGAAGGTATGGCGCGGAACATCGAGATAGGCCTTTTGAATTTGTAAGCCTACTTCCTCCTGCTGAGCGTTTGGGACTACTGACCCTAATTCGATCAGTCTACTCGAAGAGGGTGGAGTCTTTGCCGAGGGTACTGCGTGGGCCAAACAAACTTACATCAAAGTCCGCTGGGAATGGTTGACCTTCCTGGCTGTTCAGATCTGCCTTTCTGTTGTCATTCTGGTCATGGTCATCTGGGAAACCGCTACGGCCGACGTCGACATCATCAAAAGCTCAACTCTGCCAGCACTGTTCGCTATTAACTCTGAAGAGTTAGCGAATATTGAGCATAGATTCGAGGAGGGAGAACCTTTGGTTGAGAAAGGTCACCAGCAAGTAGTCCCTCGCGGAATCGGCGGACAACTATACAAAACGGGGGGCAAATGGATACTTCGATCAAGATGATCCTTAGCACTTCTTCCTCGGTAGCCTTCTACATTGAGAAGAACTTGAATCATGAGAACTCTTGACTCTCAATGACTGGTTGTATTTCTCGATGACATCATCAGATCAGATGTGTCCCGGAGTTGACCATTGTGACTATCCGTGCTTCCGATGTTCGGATGCGACATAATCGTAGAAGGGCGAAATTGATCACCATGGAATATCGCGATTACCCCGAGAAGACTTGCGTAGCTTGGTAAGAGCAAGAAAAGGCGCAGTCAGCGAGCCTGACTGACACTGCGTCTACCGCCCAACGGTCGAAGAGCCGCATGTTTCCTCTGCCCACCCTCTACCCGCGACATGGCAGAACATTGCCCTTCATAAATCTGCCACCCTCTAGGCGACAAACTTCCGATTCAAGATTGGGCACAGATAAAGTTCATCATCAGCAAGCACCACCCGTGCAGCGTAGGTACTCTACATCAGACCAACGCCGCGAGCGCCACCGGCACCAATATTGGCGTATCCCGGAGTAAAGTTGGCGGCGGCTGTTCACATCTTGCTCACGCTCCATCAGCATGGTACATTTCACAAAGTCAGCCATTAGGCCACATCAGTACAACTGGGAAAAAAAGAAAATTTGTCTTGTCCAGTTATCAACAGAGGTAGTAATGATAATCCCCTCTCCTCGGTGTACCCAGAACGCCATGCCATGCGCATCCAGATAATGTAATCCCCAACAAAATAAAAATCATACAATCCCCGTCATACCCTGAGACCACCCTCGGCACCTTAATCGACGAAGCTCATCCATCCCCACGTGCCCAAACCGCCCGCAAGCACCATAAACGTCAAGATACCCGCGCCCGCCTTGTCCGCCGTCGTGATCGGCTCCTGCTCGATGCGGTCCTTGGAGTTACTTCCCGCATTCACGTCGCCCGCCGAGATACCACCGGTCGAGTTCGTCACAGGCGGCGCGGCGTCGTCAATAAGCAGACTCGACACGGCAGCGAGCACGTTCATAGCCTCGCCGGCGCCGGAGGTCTTGTCGGTGGCCGGGTCGACGAAGACGCCGTCGTTCCAGTAGAAGCCGCACACGCGGCCCGTGGCGCCGCCGGTGCACTGCTTGACGGCGGCGGCGGTGGAGGTCTTGAGGACCGGGTCGATGGTCGGCTTCATGAAGGGCGCGACCTGCGTGACGACGGCGAGCCAGCGGTGCACGTAGCCCTTGAAGGACAGCATGTCGGGCGTGCACTGGCCCTTGCGGCCCTCGCAGGCGAGCTCGTAGGCGGTGTTGTTGGGGAAGAAGTTGATGAAGAGGGACTCGGTCATTTTCTCGATGCGGCCTTTCCAGAGGTCGGAGCCGTTGGTCTGGGGGTTGTGTTAGCATTTTCTTTGTCTATGGACCTCGACAGGTAGTAGGGAAACTTACGTAGTTGTACATAAAGGCGGCGCCCTGGGTCAGGATGGCGGCGTTGTAGGAGAACTGCTGCTTGTTGACGTCGGTGCAGTTGTGCTCGACGTGGCCTCCGTCGTAGACGTTCCAGCTTTCATGGTCAATGTAGTTGACGCTCCAGAGCCAGTCCCAGGTCTCCTCGGCGTACTTTGCGTAGGTCGCGTTGTTGGTGTAGCGGGCGAGGCGGGCGCCGATGTTGAAGAAGCATCCGTTTGCGATGGCTGTGCCTCATGTTAGCATGTCACTCGTCTTCCCAATGTTTTGTGATTGGGCGAAAGGAGGAGAAACGCACTGTTCTTGTAGTTGTATCCGGCGTTGGAAAAGGGCACCTGCCATCTCAGACCGCCGCCGCAGGTGGTGTCGTGACGATCGGGGCTCGCCTGGGTGGTCCAGACGGCCTGCGCGAGGGCCAGCCACTGGGGCTTGTTCTCGGGCGGGTTGGGGAACTTGTTCTCGGCGGCGAGCATGGCGGACATTCCCCAGAAGCCCTGGTCGTCGTTTCCGAGGGAGGCGGTGTGGTTCGGGGGCATGTAGTCGGCGTTGGGGCCGGTCTGGTGCAGCATGCCCTCCATGATGAGGTCGTTGTAGGTCGAGTCGCCGGTGAGCTTCCAGTAGTCGATGTAGGTGCCCATCATGGCGCCGCCCTCCCACCAGTAGTAGTCGCCCTTGTGCTCGGTGGGCGGGCCGGGCAGGATCCCGGGGATCTCGCCGGATTCGTTGCCCTTGTAGAACTTCATCAGGTCGTAGGCGAGGTTTTTGGCGGCGGACTTGATGTTGTCTGGGCCGGGTGTTAGTGGGGTTGGTTTTTTGGGTGAAGGCGTAGTCTTAGTCCGTTTGCACCGGGGATGCGACGGAGACTTCACTCACCTTTGCTGTCGATGCTGTAGACTTGCGCGCTGGCGGCGGGGAGGCTTCCTACGAGGAGAAGCGCCGCCGAGGCGACTGTAGCGAGTGATGTGACCATGGCGATGTGCCGGTCGGGTTTGGGTTAAAAATGGTCAAAAAAGACGCCCAGTCGTGCGGTGATAGTGATGGAAAAAAGGTGGGAATCAGCGGTGCGGTCGATGGGGTGGGCGATTGCAGGTTGTCGGTCGGGTCGTCGAGGTAGCGAACGTGTCGAATTGAAAAAAATAGCGAGCGTTGAGAGTAAAAATTCGTTACAAGCGATTAATCATGACCGACTCTGCCAGAATTATTTTCGTGAATTGAAGGCGCCGCGCGTGTGTTCGTATTAGTCGTCGGGGTTGGTGCCGGCGGCGGCGGTGGTGTATTTTTCTGGGGCGGGTTGGTTGAGGTTTCGCAGCGAACGAGTGACTGTCGCCGACGTTGTTGTTGGTGGTGAATGGTGAACTGGGAATGGAGACGGGAAAAAGCAGGAACAGAATCGAGAAGCCCGGCAGCTGCGCGGGAAAAGGGGGGCACGGGAGTGTATATCTCTTGTTGTGGCAGAAATACCAAGACTTTTTTCTATTGCCAAGGCTTGAAAGAGGACATTGAATGGATACTTTCTCTGGCTGTCTGCAGGTAGGGGCATCTAGGAATACACACACCCATCACAAAAACAGACATGGACACACACCACCACCACACATAACCACAACACAGACCACGGGAAGGCAGGGACGACGGGACAACAGACTCGGGTCAGATCCAGAACGAGCAGGGCAGCACACAGGCAGGATGACGCGGTGAATTTGTGCTGGTGGCCGCCAGCGTCTTGGTATTCTTGGTACGGTCTTGGCCTTCTGGGCATCGGGGCTGTGCAGCAAATGAGAGACGGCGCCGACGTTGGACAGAGGAGTCGCCTTTTCTCGCCAAAGTGCACCCAAGACGAACAGCCGCCCTGCCCTGGATGGATTGCCACGGGGGAACCGGGCTGATTGGGTGCTTCGGTCCTCCGCGACGGATAGGGTCTGGCCACGGCACGTTGCGGACAAGGTTTGGCTCCTCGGGCCTTTGGGGAGTGAGGGCGTCTGCATCTGTCTGTCTGCAGTTGACGGTGTTGAAGATTGATGAGGGCTGAAAGTTACACTCGCAGGCAATACGTAGCTTCAGCCTCAAAGCCTTACATCAGTCAGTGCAGGTGACAGGTAGAGACAACAGACGAACCCAGGGCGCTCTTGAGACGGACGAGAGCGGCTGGGCTGGGAAGAGGAGGCAAGGAGGCAACCACCAGCAGCCAGCAGGTCGGATCACCAAGCCCAGCCATCCCTACCTCTGGAGAGCATTGCCAAGACTCGTCATTCCAGGGCAAATACGCGGGGAGTTTACGACCACGACGGAGGGGGGCTCGGGCTTGTCACGACTCACGGGCTTGACTGGTCAAGACAGGAGTCAATCAAGGAAAGTGGGCAACTCTGCTGCTGCTGCTGCTGCTGCTGCTGCGGTGTTCAGCTCTCGCCTTGACGATCCCATGGTGAAAGGGTGGATGCTGCAAGAGATGGATTCAGGGGTCGATGAGAGCTAAGACTCAGCAGCGCCTTGGCGATGCGATGGCGTCTCAGGGCCATTTGCGACGGGGCGAGTGAGTGGGTTGGAGATGGAGGGCGAGACTCTCAGACGGAGAAAAAGAACTTAAGTCGATAGTGAGTTGCGATGATCGTCCAAAGGGACACCGGGTTCGGGTAGGAAGACCGTTGGGAGAATAAGGTACGGATGCTCAAGGCAAAGAAGAGCAGCAACGATGGAAGGGGCCGGACAAAGCGTGGTCCAGCAGCCCACCGAAGTAACTACCTAATTACCAGACTAAGGTATCTGTACTGTACCTTAAGGTAAGGTTAAGTTGTCGCCTGCATCTGACCTGATTTTAGTAATCCACTGGGCGCTGAAAAGTCAGATACGAAGCGAAGCGACGTCTGATGGCTTACTGCTGCAGATACGGTCGCTGGGAATACGCGCAAAAGAGGCCTTGCTGGCAGAATGCAAAAAAAAAAAAAAAAAAAAACATGGAAGAGGCGAAAGGAAGCAGTCCTCCCTTTTCCCATCCCTCTTGTGCTTGTGCAGGAAAAAGCCAAGGCATTGTGTTGTTTATGTGCGCCAAGCAAAGCGATCGGGACAGCCAAGGCAGATCACACGACGGCAGAGAGCGGCGCGGGGCCACCGGTTGCCGCGGGCGAGGTCTCGTTTGCGATGCCGCTGGTAAAACGCCCGACATTCAACGATCGTTTGGGTTCGGACCCAGACGTCTGGGCAGGGACGGGATTGCGTGAGGCTGGGCATCCCAAGCCTTTTGGCGGTGATGGAAGATGAAATGAAGATGAAGTGAGATGAGAGTGAAAGTCAAGTGAGAAGATGAGCACCTACCTACTTGGGCAGTGAATGTGATTGGCTGTGGAGGTTGGAGCTGGGAGGAAGGAGCGACCCTTCAGTGAAAATCCGGAGGGAAGGTGCAACTCTCCAGCTCTCTCCAGAAGGAAAGACCCGACGAAGGGACCTCCCACTCACCTTCCCCAGCGCTTTCCCTGTGTTCTGGTTCTGGAACACCAACTTTGATCGAAGTACGTACCTGTCATCAACAGCACTGAAAATATATCCACACTGTGCTTGCTCCACTACGATGGAGCAA